GGAATTCTTGACTTTTTTTGCCGGCACATGGGCTGGCCATCTCTGCTTCAAATTCATTATGATTTTTTTTAAATTTTCATTAACTTAACGAGAAAGAATTGGGGAGATTAGATCTGCAGGTCTCTAGAAAATGTCAATAATCCAAGAAACAATGGCTTCAATTTTTTTGATTCTAATACTAAGACCGCTAGGATCAACAGGCTACTAAGTACTCTTATCAAATAAAGTCACTAAGCTCACAATCCCACTCGAGTCTTCAAGCTCCCTAGAATCATTAGGGTAATTAAGCTACAAGAATCACTAGTTACCCAGGTTGAAGAATCATCACACTCAAACCTAAACCACAATTTAAAGTGGAATCCGACACACTTTTTGAAAAACATTTTTGCTTAACACTTTTCCAATCTCTCAAAAATTTCCAATTAATTTTTTAATCACTTAAAATTTTCGCTCACAAAATTGCCTCCGAAAAGATCAGAACAAAAATCCAAATTAACATTTCATGTGATTTTATTTCATCAATTCTTTCATTTTCATCATGTCATTCATTTCACACATTTTTCATTCGATTTCTTTTTTTTTTCATCTCAATTGAAATATTTTTTCCCAAAAAAAATTCACGATCAGCAAAAAAAAAATCATTCACAGCTTCAAAGTCACAATTTCATAAATCATCTCGCATTTTCCGTCTCGAATCATCTAAAATTTTCATGAAAAATATAAATTTTTGTTCACAATCCATCTTCATCATTCACAATTTACTCTTTGATTTATTAAAGAAGGAATTTTTGCACGCATTGCATTGAGAGACGAGGGAAATGGAAGCGAATGAGATGAAAAGAATGGAAAAAAATTATTCTTTTATTATTTTGACTCATTGTACTTGCTTTATTCTCTTTTTGCCATGTAATTATTGTCTTAAAATAAAAGAAGCTTCAGAATGGATCAGCAAATGAGAATTGTTACTTTAAAGGTTATGGGATGCGAAAGATAAGTTTGTTGGAAAATTAATATTTTATAACTTTTTTAAATTAAGATGCTTTGGAAGTTATGCTCATTTATAATCTAATAAACCCTTAAAAGAGGGCCTATTTTGGACTCCTTTTCTCTTCTTTAAATTGAGTTCAAACAATCGAATTTTGATAAATTTTGACTATTTCAATCATTTCCACGTCTTTGAGTTCAAACCTTCATTTCCATTATCCATATAAGAACGAATACAAACAATGAGCATAAGCATAAAATAACGAGCAATTAAATATTATTGAATGCGATTTTAATGAACAGAAGGAATGAAAAACAAAAGTTCATGAGCAAATGAAGCCCTTGCACTTCTGGTACAAACTGTAAAATAATTAATTATTTATTTTTCCTTTTTTTTCATCTCATTAAAATGAAAAGGTAATTTTCTGTTTATCGTATTAATTCTTTTGGGGGCTGTTCACTTATTACGTAACGCGAAAAAATGACTTCTTGGACCCCCCCCCTCGTAACAAAATTTGTATGAAAAAAAAAATTTCCTTGTTTGAACGGTAACAAAATCTTAGACCCCCCTCCCCCTAAAAGCGTTACGTAATAAGTGAATGGCCCCTTGCAGAATGCCGTGTTTACTTGACGAACGTAATTTACTCGAAATGGAAATAATTGCATTAAATTTAATTATATATTTTTGAAGTAATTATTGTAAGGAAGATGAGGAAATTCAGGAACGGATGCAGAGGATGACCATCGATTTTTTTTGCCGATTTTCGGTCAAGGGTGACCAGATATTTTTTGAAAAAATAGAGAAGAACAAGAAAGTAAAATAGAGGACATCCCACGTGTCTGCCAATTTTATTTGTTTTCGGATGAACTAGAACAAAACAAAACTATTCAATTTTTGAAAAATGAAAAAAATAAAGGACAGTCTCCTGAAAAACCAAGCAGATGTTCAGCTTAGACATGTCTCGTTTTCAACTCTGAAAAAGCGGGGCAAACCAAAATTTGAAGCATTTTCTAGAAAAATAGGTTCGAAAAATTGCCACATTAAGGATTTTAGGAAGGATTTTGTTCTAAAATGCGGGACTGTCCCGCTCAAAAGTGCGCAGTTGAACAGCATACTGATGCAGCTTGTGATGTTTATTATTTGAAATTTTATGATTCTCAATCAACATAGGTTAGCAGCTACAAACAACGTGGAAAGCTGGTAATTTTCTTCCCGAAATAACAATGGCGTTCGACTATAAATAACCGGAGTGTAAATAAAATAAATATTTGCTTGGCAATAATTTTTGGCACTCGGTTTAAAACTAAAATTGTATTTGTCTTCACTTTGAAATGTCGTTATGTACGATTTTGAACTCTAAGTAATTTGAGTCGAAGTTTCCATCATTTGTCATTCCAAAAATTGACAAAAAATTCCAATTAAAATTTCATGGAAATTTTTTTCTTTGTTCTAGCTGTTACAAAATCTTAGACCCAACTCCTAAAAAGCGGAAGCTGCTTAATCATTTGAGAAAAAAAAATTAACTTTCAGTTCATAAAAAGCTCGGGATCTTATTTCATTGAAGAATTTCTCAGTAAAATCTAATAAAATTTCATTATGTATGAAGCAGAGACGTTGGAATGGGGTTGCTCAAATTACATTCCCATTTTTAAAAATTTGATTCAAATAAAAATGAAATTATTTAAAATTTCTTTGATTTTTAGATCTCCCACCTTCCCCTACACCAAACCCCTTTCCTATGCCACTGTAATAAAGAACCTATTAACATATTGCATCGCTTTTATTACGGTTCATTTGACATTCTTCTTATCCCGATATTCATGCCTTTTATACTCCATACCTTTATCGCTATTCATCTCACTTTATAAACAGTTCTTCTTCTTTTATGAGTGCAAAAAAGAAAGAAAAAGGAGACATTTACAATTTTTTTTTATTTTCGTCGACAGCAAGAAGACTTGGAAACATTAAATAATATTGAGGTACTCTCAACGCAGAGTTGATATCGCTTTGAGTAAATAATGTGTGACTTGAGAGTGGGAGAATGTCTTTGATGTAAATTATTTTTATTGAAGATTTAACCTCGTTTTTAAAATTTATGTCGTTTAGCTTTTGATGAAGCTTTGTAAAGAGTTTATTAAATAGATTTTGAAATTGTAGATTGCGATGTCAAAGGAAGTTGCTTTAAGGATATTGATGTGATGTTATTGGAAATTGAAATGAGACCACTAAATAAGGGGCCGTTCACTTATGACGTCCAGGGGGGGGGATCAGACAGAAAAGAACAATAGAAATTCCTGGAAATCCATAGTTCGTTTTTGAAAAATGACCTTTAATTTCGGACGTCATAATTGAACGGCCCCTAAACAAATCAATTTCTCCCTCCACAGCACCTCTAATTTTCTATCATCCAAATACTTTTTGAACAATTCAAATGAATATTATTACGGTTGAGCATATAATGTTAACAACAATAACAAGAAGAAGTGAGCATAGTAGGAAGCATAAACATTGATTTACCCAAATACAAAAAACAAAGAGTAAAGAAGAAGCAGGAAGAAAATTATCGACAGAAATGAAATTTGTTGTTGTGGCTTTTATTATAAAAAACTTTATTTTTCTTCCTTCCTTAAAGCCAGAAAAAAGCCCCAAAAATACAGAAAAGTTTATTTATCGCATACAAAAATGAAAATAATTTTAAATATTCATTTGCGCCTGGAAATAGGCAAACTGGCGCTCAAAAGCAATAACTATGTCAATTACCTTTCCAATTCCCCCCTGCCCCAACTTTGATCATGAAAAATTAATGGAAATAGTCATGAAAAAAGGACACAAAGTCAATTGAAATGAACAACGGTAATTATATTGAATTCAGCACCTACTTAAGTATTTCTGCAGAAAATAATTAATTATAGATGAATTTTTCAACCAATTAAAAAGGCTTTTAGATTAAAATTTCAAGTCGGTTTTGAATAATTTTTGCTAATTTTCGAGCACTGCGGGGTGAAATGTAAAACAAATAAAATGAATTGTTGATAATTCAAGTTAATACCCCAATTATCGGAACCATAAATGGTAAATGGTGGTAAAATTGATAACTTTTTATTGTTGTTGTAAAACTTTTGATGTTTTTTGAGGTCTTTTTAATGTAAACTTTTTTGGATTGGACATGAAAAGTTTTTAAATGTGGAATTTTATTTGGACATTGAATGTTTTTAAGATTTTCAACCAGAATTGTAACTTGTGCCCGTTTCTGGAACTTCATTAAGAACCTTAGCAACCAGTTTCAGTTGAGTTTTAGGTATTTCCCAAATTATGGTACTTTGATTTATATTCTTACTCGAGGGTGCCCCGAGGAGCTCTAGAAACCGGCTCAGTAATTTTTAAATGATGGGCGGGGGTTGAAGTTTTTTGGGTCCGAAGATATCTGTATTTGGTTTAAAAACTTCGGATTAGGTTGAGATTGTTATTTTCTATGCTTATTTAAGTCAACTTTTAACTAAACCCTAACCATACTCTAGCTACACTCTTACTATAATCTAGCTTTACGAAAGGTATAGTCCATAAATCGGCACTATCGCATGAATAGTGTGATGGACGTATTGATTAATTGTAGTATCAATTCGAGCCCCTCCTCGCATCCCCCCGTCCCTCTTATCCCCTTCTTCCTCCTCCACTCTTCAAAGGTTTTAGATACTCCTCTATAGCTTTTTTAATACGACCATACAAATTTGTATCTATATACGTATAATATTACAAATTGACTCTACTAAAAATAAATACAATCTCGCTTAAATTGCAGATAATAAAACAAAACTGACTATAATTCAATTTCTTTAAAAATCGAATTTATAGACACCTTAATTCCTATAATTTATTATTCCTCAAAAGCCTCATGTTCTACCAATAAATTGCATGCTTATTACCCCAAACACTCAAATATAATAACAGTTTTGAAAAAAATAATGCTGAACTTGAAAATTATTGGTTTTTACTATCCCAGTTGTTGACTTTGTTTCTTCCACATAAAAAAGCCGGCATGCAGTTCACAAATTAGTCTCAAGTTTGAATGCCAGCCATGCTAATTGTCGAAATTGCATGTCGACTTTATTGCATTAATACCGACTTCAACAAGCTATACAAAATAGAAACCATGTGTAGTATTGCAAGTGTAGCCACCGGCTATCGATTTATAATAAATTGTGGATTGTGTCTGTGAGTTTGAACATGTTTTAGTATTTTTTTTTCTAAATTTAAATAAATTAATATTTTTGTGGCATTTGCAGTCATCTGGATGATTGATGCACTCAATATTTTTGATTAATCATGAATAAAAGTCATCAAGCGAGATTTTGCGATGATTTAATTACTTAAATGTTTTGAGAACTCACAAACACGACTAAAATTCTTACAAGAAATTTAATTAAAAATTGACATTTTACAAACGAGAATTTGCAAATTAAGTAATAATTCATCTTGTGCTTGTATGTGCATTTTTCATGTTAACATTGCATGTTTGTGAAAAAACAATTTTTTTTTATCTCGAACAAAGTTTAAATACAGCTTCAATTTGAGTTCTGAGGCCAAATTATAGAATTGAATTATGAACTTAGTATAAACATTAGAGCAATCAATTGTTGACTTGACTGAACACTAGTTTTTAGGATAATTAAGCTAAAGAATTATTGAAAACGAACTTCAACAGTCGTCTTGCCTTTTATACCTAAGATTTCAACCTTTTCAACAATTTCGACTCACAATAGACGTTTACAAATTGCAACAGAAGAACCAAACTCAATCTACACATTTACTATATCGAACACAATGTCAAACAAAATAGCCATTAGATCATACACTTTAGTATGTGTTGAATTCTAATACAATTTATAACATGCCAAGTCCAATCGATATATGACACATTCTAACATCAAGTAATAATCTAAACTGTATTTATTCTCCTTGTTTTTATTCATTTTAGTGTATTATTAATGTACGATTGTTTATGAGAGTGTTTTGTAGTTAAAATTATTAGGTTAGAAAAATTGAGAAGCTTTTTGAATTTGTAATACTATCGTTCATCAGAAATTGTTACTTTAGAACAGAGGTGGCCAACCTGTGTGCTGTGAAAATATTTGGGATATTCCACGATCCGTTTGGTGTATGCAATTTTGATCATGAATTATCATCGAGTGTGCCGTGGTACAAAAAAGGTTTGACACCACTGCTTTAGAATATCCCCCCAAATTTCAAAATTCCTGCTATATGTTCACAGATCGTAAGATCCCCTCCCTCCTTTTTGAACAGTTGGAAATCATTTTTTTAATGATCTATTATTAACAGTATTAATATAGAGAAGATATTAGTGCTTATAGGATAATGTTTTTTAAAAAAGTTATGTTTTTGGGACTTTATAATTATTTATCTTAAAATGCAACTTAACTAAGGTCAAAAGTTATGTTTTTTAAATTCCCGGCTAATATTTTTTTCATTTAATTGCATTTTTACTGCATTTATTGACGACATTCTGTCCGAATATAGATAAAAAAATACAGGAGACAACTACAAACAAAAATTCAATTAACATTGTCTCTTATTAATCAATCTGACCATATAATAGCTACAAAAGCTTTAATTCCAAAACCAGAATAAATCTACAAACTCTTTCACTCAATTTGAGTTCCTGCTATGAATTTTTATTCCATTTCAAGCCACTTAATCTAATATCCAGTCTTGCTAATCCATTAAGTTTAATGGACATACAATACAATATAATCTCACTATCGATCCACTATTTATTTTTTTTTTATCACACATTCAAATGCTTAGTTATCATCCCTCACTGAATGCACAGCAGTAGTAGACAGAAGACAATTCATTCAACTGACATTTTCATGATTAAAACTTTTTTCATCCATACATAGATTATAGAGCACGTAAAGCGATTCACAAGATATTTTTCTTTCGTTATCACTTTTGGGATTCTTATTTCTTCCTCAAGTTTTTTTTGCCACTGAGCTTTTTTTTTGTGTATCGATTTTTCTCCGAAAAAGAGGAAGAAAAAAAATTTGAGATTTTTTTTTGGCACAAATTGGTTAAAGGACACAAAAATTTACTTATTTACACTTATTTGTTGATCAATTGTTGATCCATTTCCTATCAACTTATCCTACAATCACTTTACTAAAAACTTTAATTTTTTTTCTAAACTTTTGAATTAAAATAATTTTTTTTTCTCTTTATTTTTTGAGAAATTACAGGAATCACATCTTGCATCAACGATGTTTCAACTCTTACTAGTATTGTGCGCAAAGAATAATGTGAGAGACGAGCTTGGAAGTGGAACAGAGCTTCAGAACCTTTCTGATAATCTTTATAACCGGCTTTTGGGAATTTTGTTGCTATTTTTCTAAGTTTTTTGCATCCCTGACAAACAAGTTTGTTATTTTTGGACGCAAGTTGACCTTGAATACGCAGACATGAACAGATGATGATCTAAAGATTTATATAAAGAAGCTTTCACTTAACAAAATTATTTTGAGACTACAAAACCATGACACAATAATTCATTCATAGATAGACCACATTACAACATGGAGAAGTCATGGAACATGCGCAATTTTAATTTTCTCACTAGCCACATGACTTTTTTTTTTCATAAAAAATCTTCTCTGAGAGACGAGAAGATTTTTATTGTCTTTTTTTTTGTGAGTAAAAAGACGAAAAGTGCACGTTGCTGGAATTGTGTAATAAAAACATATGATGATGATAATAATGAAGACAACAACAAACGTCTCTCTTTCTCGCTCGCTCTCTATTGCGTGCTTCATGCTTGGTTATTTAGCGCCTTTTGATGAAAGAGTTCTCATATTTTTTTTGGTATTGAGAATCTTTTTCGCACATTTAGATTGACGTACTTTTGTTGAGTCAACAATAGGAAATTTTGTTCGCTTTTATTGGTCTTTTCAGGTTCAATTTAGTGTTCAAGGTGAGTTTAAATTTTCTGAGATTTTGACGTTGATTCAAATTGAAAAATATTTTATTTGAAAGGAAAATTGTACGATTCAGCTTAAAAATTGAACTCGCTTCATTTAATTACTTTGTATCATTTTTTTAGTTTCTGCATCATTTTTAATTTTCGCATCATATTTCATTAAAGCATCATTTTTAATTTTCGCATCATTTTCATTTTTGCATAATATTTCATTATATCATCATTTTTAATTTTCGCATCATTTTCATTTTCGCATCATATTTCATTATAGCATCATTTTTAATTTTGGCATCATTTTAATTTTAGCATCATTTTTAATTTTAGCATCATTTTTCATCATAGCATCATTTTTAATTTTTGCATCATTTTCATTTTCGCATCATATTTCGTTATATCATCACTTTTAATTTTCGCATCATATTTCATTTTCGCATCATTTTTATTTTAGCATCATTTTTAATTTTAGCATCTTTTTTCATTATAGCATCATTTTTAATTTTCGCATCATATTTCATTATAGCGTCATTTTTAATTTTCGCATTATTTTCATTTTCGCGTCATATTTCATTATAGCATCATTTTAAATTTTCGCAACATATTGCATTATAGCAACATTTTAAATTTTCGCACCATTTTCATTTTCGCGTCATATTTCATTATAGCATCATTTTAAACTTTCGCATCATATTTCATTATAGCATCATTTTTAATTTTCGCGTCATTTTCATTTTCGCATCATTTTTCATTATAGCATCATTTTTAATTTTCACATCATTTTTCATTATAGCATCATTTTTAATCTTCGCATCATATTTCATTTTCGCATCATTTTTCATTATTGCATCATTTTTAATTTTCGCATTATTTTCATTACAGCATCATTTTTTAATTTTTGCATCATTTTTAATTTTTGCATAATTTTTCGTTATAGCATCATTTTTAATTTTCGTGTCCTTTTTATTATAGCATTATTTTTTATTTTCACATATTTTTTTTTGTTTTCGCATCATTTATCAATTTCGCTTCAGTTCAAACTAAAATTTCGCATCAATTATCATCAATTTGAGCTTCAATTAAAATCAATTTTTTTAGAATTTTGCATCAATTAAGATTCTATTCGCATATTACATTCTTAATTTCGCATCAATTTAATTGTTTCTTTGCATCACTTCAGCACCAATTGAACTCAAAAATTCCATTGAACCATAAATTTTTAACAAACATTAATTAGACATAAATTATCAATATTTTCTCTAATAACTTCTGACTCAAATTTACATTATTTAAGACAGTCGCGTGCCTTACATTTTCATTTTTTTTTATAATCAATGAAAAAAAGCAAACACAAAAAGTATCAAATTAAATATTTATGCAGTTCCAATAACTTATGTTATCGTAAGGTGTGTTTATATGTTTATTATACTTTCAATTTATGGCACACAAATTTAGATTATTTATTGCTCCTTAATTCATTCTTTCACATTCTAAATTATTCCATACTTTTACTATGTATTTTAATTGATTTTGGTATTTATGAACAGTCGCTGTTTTTTTTTCAAACCGAAACATTCAACTTGACTCGTAAACCTCAACTGACATTATTGCCTTTATTTTTAACATTCAATGTTTTTTTTTTGCTGCCGGTGAACATGATAATTATATCGCACATGCATACTTTATATGTGCATAAGTAGACAATTCGAAATGTGAGTCAATGATATTTTTTTTAAGCTTGTTGAATTTATTTTGTTGGAAATTGTTGTGAATATTGAATTTTTGAGATTGTTGATAACTTGGAAATGTGGCATTTATAGTCAGTTTGTTCGAATGCTTAAGTACCGTAAAACTTAGATTTCTAGACCTACAATCAGCATCAAGCCGTCATGACTCTGGCAGGGTGCTGGTTTCGATTTGAGCGCAGCACCATGCCAGAGAATTATTTATATGAAGTGGCATGGAACCATTGTCAATTCCATTTCTCACCACCGACTAAATAGTTTGATCTATGTTTATGACAGTGTTGGCCAACCCATTTCCCGCGAAAAAATTCAGAAAATTCCACAAACCGTATGATGTGTGCTGTTTCGTCATGGCTTACAACCAAGGCGTGTCGTGGAACAAAAAAGGTTGTACACCACTGCTTTATGTATTTGGGGTACACGAAGAGAGTGAATTAAGCCCGGAGCCTGGTTTCTAATTCAATTGATTGCAGTTGACCCGGCTAGCTAGTAGCCAGCCCCCAAAATTTCCTATCTCCACACCAGCATAATTTAAAATGCGCCCTAAACTCCCGAAACTCCAATAACTCACCAACTTAATTCTACAATACAAAACATTTCAATCTCACATACAAGCTTGCATTGAAACCCAATCAAAATTTCTATGGAATACTAATTACATCGTTTCAATCAATTAAACTTCTCACAATTATGATTGTCAGGTCACAGCCGACCATGATTTATGATTTTATGAACTTTTACATGCTATAATATTTAGGTAAACTTCAAATCGAAAGATAGTTGATGGAAATTTATCAAATATCAAAAAACCTCACCCATGTGTATTGAACAATGTTGTTATTTTAAAAGTAAGTCACAGCAAGTGAACATGTACAAAAAGTTTGATAAGACCTTAAACTTTGAATGTCAGAAATATGTCATTGCGGTTTATCAAATAACGGCGACGTGATTATTATAGTTACATATTTTATTTGTAGCTTGCTTGCTTGCTTGAATTATTGTGTGGATGTTTGAGCTTTGTAGCGATTAAATGTTTAGGTTCCAATATTATTCTTGTAACCTTAATAAAGAATGTGCATTCTGTGCCGGGGATAATTTTTTAAGACTTTCCATGATAAAGAACCTTAGAATTGGACTTAAATCTATACTGTAACTGCAGATTGAGATAGAAACTGCAAGAAACCAGCCCCGATTCACATCTTCTTCGCTGGCTTTACAGATCAATTGTGATCCATTGCCTCCATTAGATGGCGCCTGATGCTGGCTATCGTTTTCCAATTACCAATACCAAATGCCATACTGTCTCTGTTCCTGATCCACATAATTACTTAAATTTAAAATTCATCACATGTACTTAGCTTGTTGAAGTGATCTATGAATAGGCTAACCATCTGCTTAGTTTTTCAGAGGACAGTTCTCTTTTTTTTTCATTCTTCAAAAATAAAAAAGATTGTTTTGTTCTAGTTCGTCCAGAAAACGAATAAAATTGGTAGACACGTGGGATGTCCTCTATTTTGCTTTCAGCTCCTCTATTGGTTCAAAAAATATATCTGGTCACCCCCATTTATGAAGTAAGAAACTAGTTTCAATCGTAAACAACCGTAAGATCAAATCCTGGATCTTTCTTAACTTAAACCAACGTTCGTACTTCTAATGCCATTAAACAGATCCCAAACTTATCTCAAATTGTGACCCAATTTCAATTCTCTGAAGAATTTAAAGAAGTTTAAGCATTTACTCACCTCAAATCATCATTTTTCTCAGTTGCAGCCTGAATTTACCTTAAAAAAACAATTTAAAAGCTCCAAAATTAATTCTTAAACTTTTTGACACTTTAAACTTTTATTAATCTCAAGAAAACAAGAAATTATTTGTAATTATTAAAATAAAATGCTGACTATGATGTGCAATTATTCTCTTCATAACTGACTTTCTCGCTTTGATCGTCTGCGACTTGATTGCTTTGTTCATTCTGAAAAGAAAAAGGAAGGGAAATAAATTTTAATTTTCTCACATGCTGAAAAATCTTAGAGTTTGTGAATTTTTCATTGAGTAAGGTCAGTAAAGAGATATGTAGTAGCTCCAATGATGTGAGATGCTTTAAGGGAACCAAAAAAAAAAAAATTGTGTATTCTCTGTGCAAATTTTAAAGCAGCACATCAACTCTTATCAATATTACAATATCACCCCATAAGCAATAATTTAATAATTCACAAGTCATTCTCGCATCTCACAAATGTTTACAGTCACTGTAAGCATTAATAAGATGCTGTAAAATGTTTAAGAGTTCAATGCATTGAAATGGGAGGAAATTGTTCTTGCTTTAAGTTGATCAAGTTTGACATGTGAAGCGCCTTGAGGTTTATTGGATTAAATTATTGAAATTGTCGCTGTTTGAAAATATTCGAAGCACATGTGGTGTGCTGAAATGGGTTTGTGTGGGAACTGCCTGCTAGAGATGATGTGCTTATCAACTTTAATGTATTGACGCATTAGACTTAAATTATTCCAAGGACTATCATGAGGATATAATAATGTGTGAAGGGCCCAGCCTTTCAGCTGGAGGCACTGCGATTCAAATTAAAACTGAATCTATTGTACCACACCCTTTAGAACCTACAGTTTATAGTGGGATCCGAACCACTTGCATGAGGATGCTTCCCTAGCAAATGAAGCTGCAGCTCTTATTCATGTCTTTACACTGTTTAAAACTTGCAGCTGGTTTAAATCCTACATTTGAGCATCCAATTTTAAATAATTCTGAATTTATTCAAACTTCCTTAATTCAAAATCCACATGACTATCTCATTTACATCAATACTTACATTATGTGCTTCTGCATCTTCAATGAATGCATGTTCCGGCGGAGAACCTGAAGACAGAGCAAGAAAGGAAAGAAAATTTATAAATATTTAAATAAAGAAGCATCTTCAATAAAAATGATTCGATTCCGTTCGATCGAATAATTGAGCATGCAAAAACTACTCAAGGGAACTGCATTAATGAAGATATTTATAAAGAAAAATTGCAACTTGCATGCCAAAATAAGTTCATATCTAACCGATAGGTGAATAATAGATCTCGTTAGAATTTTCATCACTGGGTGGTGGAAAATTGTAATTTTCCTTAAAATAATTCAATATCTTCGACATAATTTCACTTTCAAGTTCGCTCATTTGAGATGGTGTGAGGGAAAGTTCATCATTACTTTTATCGTTCTCGCTCTGCTCGGAGCTGGCGACGTCTGATGAGTGTTCAACGTTTGCCATCATGCTGCTGTATTCCTGTACATTTGCAGAGCATTCACCTTGAAGGAAGGAAAAAGAAATGAATGTGAATATTGTATGGATTTCGTGGGGATTTGAACATTAAAGCTTCTTAGCTCAGATCTTCTTACCTTGGAATTCCTCAATGTTCGTCTTTTCATCTTCATCGTTATCCGAGTCAATTGAATCAAGAGTCGTGTCTAAATTGCCACTTTCATTTGGCTCATAGTCAGGATCAGCTACCAAAGAGTCCTCTGCATTTGCATATTTCTCAAGCATTTCATTTGTATTTAAATCATCGTCAATATCTGAGGAACTTATATCTAGAGAACGTTTGCCGTGTCCATTGGGCTTTCCATTCTGTAAATTGGAAATGAATTTTTATTATTCTGCCATGAAATTAGTTTTAAAGTCATTCTTACCCCGACTTCTAGAGCTGCTTTGTGTTGGTGTATTTCAACAATAAATTTAGTCATGAAGATTGACTCATAGACTCTGTAGTAGAGTCTCCACCAGATCCATGCTTTACGATTTTCAATCATTTCTTTGTCTTGTGCTGTCCATGCATTAACTGCATAGTGTCGAATGGAACGATAATAGCGACGAAATGCGATGACCTTTGCTTGCATTTGTCGAGCTGTAATTTCTCCAACTCCCGCCAAAATGCCATAAATTGACAGAACAAATCTAAATATCCTCAAAAAAATCAATGCAGGTATGAAAAACAGCCATGACATTGGACGATCCTGAATCGGTAATGTTTTTTTGTGCTTATCAATAACTTTTTGTGCAGCAAATTCACAATTATCAGGCAGACAGAAGTCTAATGTATTTTCAATTTTAATCATGTAGTAGTCAAGCACTGAGATGATAACTTGACCCAGACGAAGTTTAGACAGAACAATAAATGTTGTATGAAGAATATTGTAGAACATTTGGATGACTATGAAGTCACTTTGGGGCTGTAAAACAAGATTAATTATTCAATGTGAAATTAGAGATGTAATTTTGTATGATTTGGGAATATTATTGTGAATTTTGAATCTGAGAATGAATGCCATGTCGAGTGTAGTTTACATGATGCCTGTGAGTCATTTAAAAATTTATGAGAGTGTTATTTTTAATTCTGGGAGATGAATTTGGTGTCGTTTGATTATTTATAGATCCGGATTTGTTTGATATGGCTCGAAGAATCTAGAGTAAATAGGCCTGAGCATAAAGCTCGTGTTGAAATGGTTATGTGTGTATGACGGATATCCGAAGTTAGATGAGTGCCTCGGTGGCCGAGTGGCAAGGATACCTGATCGAGTGGTCAGAGATCGCCTCTTTTAAAGTCGTGGGTTCGATTCCCATCGAACCCTACTTGTTTTACATTAGTATACACATATGGCAATTATAAGGAGATCTACAGATATATGATTAGTTGTTGAAATACAGCGTATAGCTCCAGGGCATCAATAGAGCATCCCCAAACCTACCTGACAATCACTCAAAAACTTTCCAACTCCATTACTTACCGGTTCATCGTAAAGTTCCTTTGAAATACATGGAATAAATTGATGTCTTTTCCTTCCGTTACCATTTTTCATTACTTTATGTCCTTTATCATCCAATTCCATGTCCATTTCGCTGTACACTTTCTCTTTTTCCAAGAAAAATTTCAAAGAATCATTAAAACTCATCTGCATGTAATGAATTCACTATTAGAACTGAGCATTTATTTACTCTTTTTACACAAACAGAAAGTAAGAAAAAAGTGAAGACAACTGATAGCATTCATGACCAAAGGTCATATAAAATTGCTTCAGATACAGACATGCTGCACGTTCAATTCTTTACAATGTTCTTGTTCCGCAGTGTCTCATTGCGTGCAACTTTGGACTTTAGTTTGTTATGATTATTGATATGACGTGTAGTCTTTGCCAATTCATACTTTAAACTTTGATATTTTTACATTTCTAGAGCTCTTATCAATTATATTTGACGAGTTTATTGTATTTATAGAATTTGTCTAATTAATCACTATTTGCTTTACTGTTCGTTTGTTTGTAAATGATTCGACTTTTTGCTTACCTTTTATTGAATTATCACTTATATTATGTTTATGTCACTATATTAAATATTTATCAAGCTAGATAGACACTTACAGATGAGTAAACTGTTAGACTGAATGAAGATTTTAAGAATAAACATTGAGAAAAGTTTTGGAAGCTCTGAGAAAACTTTGGGAAACTTTTGTAAATAAGAAAACTTTACAAATGTTTCTGAACGATTGAACAGCTTAAAATTCAAATTTATCTGAAACGGAAAGGTTTAAAAAGCTTGAATTGGCTCATTTAAGCTTTGAATCTATGTTGTGGAATATTTAAACATTGACAATTAATTATGAATTTAAAAACAGGTGCACAAGTAATCACTTTTTGGTTGACGTCATATGTGAACGATCCCATGCTCTAGCACTCTTCATCAATAGCAGGGGTGTAGCCAGGAATTTGAAGGGGGGGGGGGTCAAAAAAAATTTTATATGGAAAATTCAGGGGGGGTGGGGTTAAGATCCCCAAAATCCACCCCCCCCCCCCCCCCCCCCCCTGGTTACACGCCTGATCAATAGTTCATAACTATATCAAAAATCCCAGCAAATTTCCATTATTTCCTCTTCTCTCATTTCGAACAAACACACAAAAAAAAATCATGCTCAAAGCACATTGTTATGAATGAAAAATAAAGGTCAATAAGCGAGTTCATCGAGTACACACAAAGATTCTATTATAGAAACAAAAAAATGCTCATAAAGTCATTAAACTGATTTTGCGAAATAATAAAAAATTCAACAAGTTTACAGTTGTTGAATAAACAATAATTTACACATTTCGTGTCTATTCGCACATATTTTCCTCCTTTTCAGCCAGCTGATGAATGGACGTTGCTTATGAAGGTGCTGGCGTTGTGTGTGCAAACTATAAAATAAGGTAATATTTTTACAGCAAATCGTGTATTTATCTGATCGACATGTGAAATTGTAGACATATAGCAATTATGCAGTATTGACAGAATGTTTAATAAAGTAGCTGGTTTTTATAATTTTTGTGTAGTGTTTACTTTTTCTTTGGCTTCTTCTTGACGCTAAAGTTATGACTTGAAATGCCAAATCGATTAAGTAATTTTCGGACTGCAAAGAGGTTGGAAAGTGATTTTTGAGAGATTTATTTATAAAATTTGAGCTTAAAACTGTTAAATAATAATTAACGGCAGTTTCAAATTCAAAATTTCGCATCAATTGAAGCAAAAAAAAATTGTTTTGTTTTCTTAATTTTCAAATTTCAATTTTTATAATTTTAATAGTTTCTGTGAATTTTGAAGAGTTTTAAACGCTCAATACAGTAAATTCTACAACTACTTAAGCTGGACTTAAGCTTCAATTTATGAAATTCATTAAAATAAATTGCATAAGTCGAGCGTAAAGAAAACTTTTCACTCAACAATCTCCAAAATTGCCTAAAATCGTGCTATTGGTAGGATGATCGGGATATGAACATTTGCCCACTGCCACTTGCCCACTCGCACTTCCCCATTTGAATATCAGCCCACGCAGATATTTGTGCACCATAACCTTCTCAGGAACTGGACTGTCCTCTGAAAAACTAATCAGATGGTCAGCCTAGCTATTGAATTAAAATTTCCTACTTTATACATGCTCAATTACAGTTTCTAAATGAATCTCACTTTAATTAATTTGAGGAATTTCCGAATTATTCAATTTTTCAACATTTAGAGCAATTTAGAGATCATGAATCCAGCTAGCATCAATTAACTGAATGAATAACTTTGTAACTGTATTTGGAAGATGCTTTTAGGTGCTTAATTTGATTTGTGAATCATACTTTGAATGAATAATTCAGAATAAGAAGTTTTGAACTGTTTTTAGAACATTTGAAGTCTTGTTCTTCATTTCGACTAGAATTATTTCATTTTATAGCTCAGTTTTACACTCTGCTAGCTTTTTTCATATCATCTACACGTGACTGACGTAATAATACTTTCTCACAATTAATACAGACTATGACGATCAAGTGCTTTAATATTCCACGAACTTAATCAGTTTTCAACATCAAAACAAGCTCAAAAACAGCACAAGAATCGGAAACATTTAATTCTATAAAAGGTTAATTTAAAATTCAATAAAATTTCACTCAATTCGGTAAACAGATGATTGATTCAGGGAATTTTCGTTATCAATCTATCAATTAATTGATTACATCCGTTTTCTAAGTTGTAAATATTCATTCAAGTTTTTAAGTATTTTTGCTTACTTCAGCTAGTTTTTTTAACATGAAATGTTCATGACCTTGATTGATGCTATTATCTTTAATTTTCATACTTTTAATTTTTTTGAGAGTCGATAAAAATCGAAATTTAATTTTTTTTCCAGTTCATGTGTGGCTTTTTGTTTTCTCATTTCCGAAACATCATGAATGAAATATTTTTTTACTGTTGTTGACTAGGTTTTTAAATGGGTTCTGTTTTCGCGATGATTTTGAAGGTTAATCAATTTTGAAAAAAAGTTTTGAGGGAAGTCTGAAACGAGGTTGAACTAAATTTGGTATGTCCATCGGGATTTTGCCAACTTTTGGTCAAAAAGCGGACATTGTCTCAATTTTAGCTCTGAAAAAGCTATACAAATCATATTTTCAAGCATTCTTCAATAAAAAAGTTCAAAAAAGCGGGGCATTAAGGATTTTAGGCGGGATTTTATTCAAAAAAGCAGAATTATCCCGCTCAGAAGTGCGCAGTTGGACAGCTTATATAAATTTGACTTAGACAGAACCACATACACAGACAGGTATATTGCAAGCTAACATTTATTGATGTCCCCAAAATAAAAAACCAAATGTGACGAAAAAAAAGAACAAAAATGTTTATTTTTTCAAAAAGTAAGGTTAATAAGGCATAGAATCAATTCATATAAATGCGCAATTACTTTTCGGTGAATACTTTTCACTTTATAAACAACAGTTTTATCAATTTTACTTTCAGTTTATTGATAAGTGTTTTTGTTTTGTTTATCTTATGTTATCATATTTGCGTATATTGTTTTAGTTGGTTCAATGTCTAGCTATTTGAATTTTTAGATTCGCGTTCTTGTTACTATGGATAGGTTTCTAGAGCTACAATAAGTGCTTTACACTAGAATTTAGATTTGATCGACTCTATTCTTTGGGATTTTTGGTATATTAACAAAATTTCAAAAAAGGATTAAACTTCCAATCTTCTAATCTGGGTTTTAAATAAACTAAGGCTTTCTTTTCGATCTTCTGTGGGCGTGACGTGATACTTTTCAGGTCCCTTCTAACAATATTCCATTCGCGGGTAATCTTGTAGCTCAAGTTCCTTATTTCTTCCTCTACATTTCAAGTTCCTGACCCATTCCTTAATCCAACGTAGTCCAAATGCTCAATTATGGCTTGATCTCCTAAGCAGTCCTAAGCAGATCCTATTAAGCAGTCGAAGTATCTAAACTTCCGAAAAAGAACAAATTTAGAAATGGCTGGATTCGAACCGACGTCCTTCGAGTTACGATCCCTAATTTGAGCCAAGCGCCTTCCCTATTCGACCGGCAAGGCACTTAACTGCTTCAATCTTTTTTGAACCTGTTTTTCTTAGAAAATGCTTGCGAGTTTGGTCTGATCTGCCTTTTCAGAGCTGAAATCGCGACATCTCCCACTTTTTTTGACCAAAAATCGGCAATAAATCCATACAGCTAAGAATTGGCCTAATAATTAAATATAATAGCTAGAAACTTAAAAGCAACTAAAAATCTTAATAATTATTAATCAACTACGAAATACCCTAATTTAGTATGCCAATAAAATCAAAATAACATTTATGTAACTCATTTTTTACGATTCTCTGGAGTATTAAGTCACAAAGTAAAGAAGTCAAAACATTTCATTCATCATAAAAACTTCAATTAAATTACATTTAACTGATTAATATCATGAATCATTTTTTGGGTAAACAAACTTGAATTTTTCCCCTACTTAAGTGATTGCCTCTTCTAATTGTCATCAGCACATGCCGTTTATTGATTGTAAAGTGAACTTATCGGGATTCCCCCAAAGTCATGCATGTAACATACTGTAAACATTGATCTTTATCTATTTGATGATAATTTGCGTCTAACAAGAAATGGCAATATTTGATTTAAGTGACAGTCTCGTGTGACTCTCTTTTGAATAACAAATGTACATAATTCCTACTGATGGATAGTACAACTGTTCCTGAATGTAAAATCATCAGACAGTTGAAGTATGTAAATTGTTTTATGCAAGTTTAATGTTAAACTTGTTCTTATACTTACATACTTCCTTGGTGGGCACGTGGGCCCATTTGCCCCGCTAAGAGAACGTCTAAAGACAGCTCTATTCTTAGACACCTTCTGCTAGCTCGGGATATTCAAGACTCTAGCGTCTTTTTCAACACAACCAATCGAAGAGTTCTTCGTTGCTTTCATTTGATTTTCGGTTTGGTTTTTATTGGAGGGTGAAGGCAGGTGCTCCCCATTTCTGCTCACGAATTGCTCTTCAATTAAGCTCAATACTCATTACTCGAAAGCCTGGGCCCTAGAAAACTTGCATTTTTAATCAAGAAAACTATCTTATTCCTTAAAAGCTTCCAAATTTAATATACAATTTTAAAACACAATATTGAATCTATAAATACCATGAAATGTCCACTCTCAATGAACGTTAAAAGCAAAAGTTGTTATCAGAATTTCACTAGAAAAATGTTGGAAAAACACAAGCAATTGCTGATAAGATAAACTTTAATTAGCGGCATTTCTTGATATTTCTTTTATTTCATTTCTTGTTCAATAATTTCTTATTCCTTGATGGAATCACTTTCAAAAATAATTAAACGGGTTGTTCTTAAATTGTAGACATGAAGGAGATTCTTATTGTGAGTTTTGTAATGAAATGAAATCTTATGTTGATGAAGTTTTATGCATCTGGGGTGGGTTTCTCGTCATATGTTTACATCTGCACCTAATGTATGCATTACAGTTTCACATTGATACATTTTGAAAAAGAGATAAAATTAGGAGTAAAGTCTGGGACTGGTTTGTAGATCTACTCGGGGCAACTTAATTTCCATGTGCTACACTATGGGATATAAATAAATTTAATCTGAGAGCTAGGGTAGGGACACTTTAGAAACCGGGCCCTGATCAGAACGAATTGAAATGTTGCTTTATTTTAAGTATTCTATCCATTTATCTGCTGTATGTACCAAGGATGCTGAACTGATAAATAAGATTTTTATCAATTTTGATCATTTTTTTGATCAGTTTTTGACCATTTTGATCAGAGTACGGCTCTTGGTATGAACAAAAATTGAATAAGTGCCAAATCCTTGCGCTGAGCTTAATTTCAACCAAAATTAGGAAAATTAGGATAAACCCCACCCTAAAAAATTCATAGATTCAACTTTGATTACAATGAATAATAATTTGTCACTTAATCACAATATTTATTAACTTAATAATTATTAACACTCTAATTAACAGCAGCAAAAGAAATCTAGTCTCCTTGACAAGGTCTTTTGTATCTAAAGACTTATTTAGTCCTCATTCAATTGCGTCATTATGACAGTAACTTTAAATAACTTATCAGTGATGAAACTTTTGTTTCATTCATAAAAATTGACGTTAATGATGACATTCTTGTTTAAACATCAACTTGTGTGGGTTGTGACTCGATGTCGATGCTTATTGTTTTCATTTTGAGCTCATTAAATTGATTATTTTATGCTCGAATGCTGGAAACAGCTTCTTTTTTGTTGCTATTAAAAACATTTATACTTCGAGATTAAAATTGACATAATCTGATAAATATAATTTATATTGGCTATTGTAGTCATGTCAATGATATGAATGATTTAGCTGAAATCTGTTTTACATTAGTTTTGGATTTAATGATGCATGGATGATTTTTTTTGAGCTTGAAATATCGAGCAAAAAAATATAATGCGCTTTAAATTCTCAACTTCTCAAAATAACTTGAAATCTATTTAGTAAGGCAACAGTTCAATGTCAGCTCTAGAAATTATTTCAAAATAATGCCGTAAATAGCAATAAAATTAGCGAATAATGAAGTGGAAGGTTCAATCTTTTTTATTTTCTCTCTCCTTGTGTCTTGTCGAGATGATGATGATGAATTTTTATTTAAAATGAAATATTTTACTTGAACTTTGGAATGATATTTATTTTAAGTTATGGTCTTTAGCTTATGGTAGGCGCGTAGCCAGAGTAGGGGGGGATTTGGGGGACAAATCCCCCAACATTAACAGAAATTTCTTTATTTTGCTAGGGTTTTTATGAAGAAATCACAAAAATCCCCCCCTCCCCCCCTTAAATTTTTCCATCCAAAAAATAATTTTGTACCCCCTTTTTCAAATTCCTGGCTACGCCCCTGGCTTATGGATTCAAATATTGAGGATGAAGAAGTTGTTGTAGATGTCAAAATTATATTTGTGAGATTTATGGATTTTTGTATTTTTTGTGGGCACGGTCATTGAGGACAGAGGTGTAGCCAGGACCTGCCTTAACATTCTAGAGTGATTAAGATTCAATATAAATTAAAAAAAGTGCCAATCCTGTCACTTAAAGCTTACATCATTCATTCATTTTCATAAAACAATTTAAAGCACATTCAACAATATCGTTTCTCTAGTTCTATAGACTTTATCTTCTTCCTGAATAGTTCCAAAGAAATCCTTTTACACTTCCACTTAAACAATTTTCTAACAAACTTTTCCTGAATAGCCTCAAAGCATCTCCACATATCCACACGAAATGCAAAACTTTCTATGAAAATTTAATTATTTCAATCATGTTCCCAATTTCTCTATCCGACTTCGATTTGCAAGAGAAAAAAATATTTAATTTTGTTCCTCATTTCCAATTTCTTTTTGTGAACAGCTGCGGCGTTGAAAACTTTTGGGGTTTTTTTTTGTGAATTTTCTTTGATTGAAGTTTTGTTTAATTTTTAAACCATCCAGAGAAGCAATGAGATTTAAATTGATGAAGGGTTGTTCTGATTAAGCATATAGACTGACTAGAAATGACATTTTACATACAAAGTAATAACTTTATTAATATTTTTCATCATCATCAATAAAATGGACACTTTTATGAGGCACAAAATTCTCAGCAAAACTAATTTTATCAGAACTTGCAATTATTTCATCCAATGAAAGTTTTCTTGGCAACGCTTCCGTTACATTCTTCATTAATCCAAAAGGATGCACATTATTAATTAAATAGTCCATAAAATACATTCCCTTTGATTTCACATAATGAGAACCAATAAAAATATCGGAACAGCAATCAAGTCCACCTTGTGTGACATTTCGATACAAATACCTAAAATACCAATACTTCATATCTGGTTCCTTATGCTTCATATGTTCAATCACTCCAGCTGGAAAAATTTGCTTTTGATTTTGTGAGTCTCTTGCGTCAACGAAAATAGCAAAATTTTGTATGCATCTGCCCACCATGACATCGCCAGCCTCCTGCTTAGCATTGCATAAAGTTTCATTTCTTGAAATAAATGTTGCAAACTTTTTCAAAGCTTTTTTGGATAGAACATTTCCACCACCAGCCATATAACCTTCCGAGATGTCATCTTTGTGAATAGCAAATCGACTGCCGATGTAAAGTGATGTTTGTGGATGATATTGATAAAGTTTGTATCGAAGATTCTCCATTTGGATGTAGCTGTGAAACGAAAAAGTTTCAAATTTGGAATTTAAATCAAGGCTGTAGACATAGAGGGGTGGGGGTGTGGGTGGATAAAGTCCTAAAAATGTGAATTTAATTAAACAGCTCTTCTTCGTGTCCCCAAAGAATTACTAGCTATGCCGGTAAAGGTATTAGGCCATGTTCACCTTAACTTCATTAAAATGATAAGCAAAAGCAACAAATTTAAAATTTAACCCTAAGAAACCAAAAACCCTAGCTAACATACATACTTGTCATCATCAGCACGTAAGAACCAATCAGCGTCATTAAAATGATTCTTGTAGACATACTCCAAGGCAAGTCTTGTTTTCTTCCATAGATTCTTCCTGCCATTATCATGATTTAGAGCAATGATCTCAGGAATACTTGAGTCATTTTTGGTACTCAAGAGAATTAATTTGTTGCATTTTTTTCCCCAAGTATTTATGATGTAAGGAACTTTTGTTTTGCGATTATCTGGATGAGTGAAGACCATGCATAATATCCGAACTTCTTTATATAGTTGGTCAGCTAATTTAGTTTCGTATGAATCTTTTGTAACATAATTTGGATTCTTAATTTTTAAATTTACACTATTTGGACGATTAAGAACTTTATTATTCGTAATTATCAACCTTACAATCAATGCTGACATTGCGAATCCTAAAAGAAATGCCAAAACTTCTTTAATTGGACAAACATTTAAGATTTTTTGAAAAAATTTCATTGAAAAATTATTAAACACGATCATTTACACATTTTAAAATAAACTAGCTGAAAATTTCAATATTTTTTATAAAAATTGCGATAACAGCTTTTATCTACACAATTATAATTGAGGGAAAAAACAAATCAATTTTGGTTAATTGCTTTATAATTAAAGCTAGCCAAAAAATGTCAAGTTTGAGTTTTTGAAGTTGAACATTTTGATCAAAACATTAATTTTACTGAAAGAACTCAACATAATTTTAGCATTCAAGGGGCCGTTCACTTATGACGTCCAGGAAGGGAGGGAGAGGGTTCAGCGAGAAAAGAACAATAGAAATTCCTGTAAATCCATTGTTCTTTTTTGAAAAATGACGTCATAAGTGAACGACCCCGAAAAAGTAATTCATTAAATGAAGCTCAGGGGGGTTGCCAGGATTTTTCTGGGGGGGGGGGTCAAAAATCAAAAAACCTTCACTATTATTCTTGCTTTAAACTAATTAGCATTTGTTAAATAAGGTTTAAAAAAATTTCAAAAAATTTGTATGAAATTTCAATCTCAAGGGGAAGTGTCTGGGCACTCCCTAGCTACGCCCCTGATGAAGCTACAAATGCAATATTGTAAAAAGTCAAATCCCACACATTTCAAACTTCTCATTATACAAGAATAATGTTTAATTTCTATTTGTATGCTTTTCCTTCCTCATAATGATAATAAATACTTTTTTTCCTTCTCTTTTGTTCTTTTTCCACATTCTGCTTGTTTCCGTTCGCGTTTGTCTAAGACGAGCTTTTGCGGAGGATATAAAAATTATGATGTAAACATTACAACTTCACAAACAATATGGATTATATAGAAGCTTTACTTATTCCTACATTAATTTTGTTTTTGTTGTATTATTTGTGTTATAAAAGGTCAAAGGATGCTTGAAGGAAATGCCACGAAAAAAAAATGGAAATGTTGAGAAAATAAATAAGCTCTTTGTTGGAATTTTAGGTTAGGTTTTCCATATGTTGGGTTTATTTATTGTTTACTTTTATTTCAACTTCTTTAACTCTTTTTAGGGGTTGAAGGAGGTTCAGATATTCAATTCGACTTAAAAGCCATTAACTGATAATAAAAAAAAATTATAAATTTGTAAGAATTTTGTTGGGGGTCAAAAATTATGAATGAATAAAGAGATGAATTTCTTTAATATCATTATTTTTTGTTTATTTGTATTTTTTTGCATACATTTTCTATTTTGGATATTGTGTTGATTAGATCAAGAAGAATTGAGGCAAATTCTTGAATTTTCTTCAGAATTCTTTCATAAAAACTTTTTCGCACACGTGTTTGAGGGCTAGGGCTGAGAAAATTGAAGAATTGACGGTCAATTTTTTCTTCTCTCTCAATTTATTATAATTTTTATTTATCAACACTCATTAGTCCTAATATTCTGTTTTGCGATGCCCTATAATGTCGATGATTATATAAATTTTTGATTTAAATACTAAGACTTTTCACCATATGTTGCTAAGCTTTAGTGTTGATCAGTTTGAGTTCTGCTCAGTTTTAATGTTGCTCAGCTTTAGTGCTGTTAAGCTTTAGTGTTGCTCAGCTTTAGTGTTGCCAAGCTTTATCGTTGCTCAGATTTAGTGTTGCTTAGATTTAGTATTGCTTGACTTTAGTGTTGCTCAGCTTTAGTGTTGCTCAGCTCCAGCGTTGCTTAGATTTAGTGTTGCTCGACTTTAGTGTTGCTCAGCTTTAGTGTTGCTCAGCTTTAGTGTTTCTCAACTTTAATGTTGTTAAGCTTTAGTGTTGTTCAGCTTTAATGTTGCGCAGCTTTATCTGTGCTCAGATTCAGTGTTGCTAAGCTTTAATTTCCGCTCAGCTTTAAGTTCAACTTAAATACAATAAGTCTTAGTTTTGCTTACAATAAATTGATCTCACTTGCAGATGTCCTCAGACTCAGCTATTATCCACTTTAAGTCATCCAACAACTGCGTCGTAACTCTGCACATCTAAACCTCTTAACATTTCAGCCACACTCTTTATGTTAATAGCACCATCACATGAATGAATTCATAAACAAAATTTATATAATTCAAGGTCGACAATGAATGTCATTAACAACATACAGAAGGAGAAAGAGGAACGAGGGCGAGAAAAAGGAACTGAAGAGGACAGAATAATAATAATAATGATGATGAAGAAGAAGGTGCTTCTCGTTAATTATTTCTGCGAAAAAGATAAGGTGAAAATGTTATAAATGGGAAATTTATTTTTCATGCATAAATTAATGGCTAAAAATCATGATTTATTACAAAAGCTATGATAATTGAAAGTCGTAGAGAAATTGCTGGTATTTCGTAAGCTTTACTCAATATATTATTTTCATTAGGTTGTGTAAGTCACATATTCAAATTCGTTTAGTCATCATTACACATGTAATGCACGGAATCGATTGAATGTTATATGTGAAATAATTACGTTCGTAAGTCGATGAATATATTTTTGTGTAAATTTAAATTTTAAAGTAATTTCCAGGGTTAAAGTAGACAACCATTAAGATTGCTGATTGCTATCGATTTTGTTGTAAAAATTTTTAACCTTTGATATGAGAAAAAAATTGGGCAATTAATTATAGGGCTTGATGGTAATTATGTTCAATGTTGAGATGTAAAAAATCATGAAAACAAATGAGTTTGTATTTAGAATCGTCTTGGAGAATTAATTTGAGGTCATCTCTGATGTATGTTGGTCACTTTACTAATTCAGCACGACTGAGCTTAAGTATTAATCTTCAGTTGATCAAAAATTCTTACTCAAAATGCTGCAATCAATTCCATTGCTAAGAGATGCTGAATTAAGCTAAAATATTAAGCGATGCTGAATTCAGCTAAAAAAGAAGCGATGTTGAATACAGCTCCATTATTCAGCAATGCTGAATTAATATCCGTTATTAAATGATTTTGAATACTGCTCCATTATTCAGCAATGCTGAATTAAGATTTACTATTAAGCGATGCTGAATTCAGCTCTCTTATTCAGCAATGCTGAATTCAGCTCCATTATTCAGGGATGCTGAATTCTGTTAAAATATTCAACGACTTTGAATTCAGCTCCATAATTCAGCGATGCTGAATTCAGCTTGAATGCTGAATTTAGCTTTCCTCATTCGTATCCAACAAAAAGTTCATATCAAAATCTGCACATCAAACCTTCCAAAAGTATTCAACAACTACCGTTCTTTCCGCATAAGAATAAACTTTATTACCTTTTTTGGGTAATTTCATTCCATAACCTTAATTATTCGCAATGTCGTAAACAAAAGACTTCAAAGTGATTGCAAAGGCATTCATCTCCATTCATATGAAAGGTTATTGACATGAATGAATAAAAAAAATTGTTTAAATAAGGTAGAAACTAATAATGAAGAAGCGAACATTCTTTTCATTCAGAATTCTTTCTTGAATATCATTTAAGCTTCTTTTGAATAAAGAAATGAGCATTTGTTGCAGTTGTGCTAATAAATTCTTATTCACTTGTTTTGCTTCTGCCACTTTTTCCAAGAGTTCCTTTTAAATGCATTTCACATAAAATTTTAAGCCAATTTTTAGACTCATTGAACGAGAATTATGAAGATGAAAATGTTTTCACTTAGAGAATTAGACAAAGATCCTTAAATAAGTGAACTTTACATTTGTTTAATGTTTTACTTTAGCTTGAAATTAATGAGTTTGGTGGAAATTTCAAAGCATTTTGTTCGTTTACTTGTAAGATTTACACTTATTTAATCTATAGTTCAGCTTTAGTTTAACTTCAGCTGCAGCCTCAGTTTCAGTTCTGCTTCAGCCTAAGTTCAACTTCAGCCTCAACTCATCTTCAGCTTAGTTTCAGTTCAGTTTCAGTTAAGATTCTGCCTCAGTTCAGCTTCAGCCTCTGTTTAACCTTTGCTAAGCTTCCTTTCAGCTTCAGTTCAGTTTAAGTCTGAGTTCAGCCTTGGTTAAGCTTCAGTTTAGCCACAGTTCAGCTTTAGTTAAGCTTTGGTTATGTCAGACTCTTTTTAGCCTTAGTCAAGCTTCAATAAAGCTTTTGTTCAGACTTGGTTAAGCTTTAGTTCGGCTTTAGCCTCGGTCTATTGCAAAATGCGCTCCATGCAATTTTTCATTTCCCAACTTTCCCACCCAATTACATCTCAATTTCTGTAAAAAAAACAGAAAAAAAATTCCTGCAAGAAATTCCGCTTCTTAAATTAAAATTAAAAAGCTTTTCGTAATGGAAAAAAATGAAGATACAAGCTTAACAAATTACGGCAAAATAAACCGAGTGTGGGGATGTAAAGACGTACACGAGAATCTAATATTTTCTTCTTCTTTTTCAGCAATATTTATTCTTTTTTTTACGTAATCTTCATTTAACTGCTAGAGATAATATTTCTGGATTTATTTACTTCTCGTAAATTTATTTTAAAGATATTTAAACACTGGGATGAGATATAAAATATTAGATTAAACGAAATTCTTGGAAGTGTGATTGTAATAAAGATAATAAAATTATTTTTGTGCTTAAATTATGTAAAGCACTTAAATCTTTTTGAAATATGCATGAAATTATGCAAAATATTCTGAGAAACATAAAATTAGATTTCTTTAGGATAAAAGGTTTTTTTTGTGAAATTTGGTTCAGGTTTAATTTAAAAACTTGAAAAATATAAATTCAACTGCAGTCAAGCTTCAGTTCAGTTTCAGTTAAGCTTAAGTTCAGCTTCAGATTCAGCTTCAGTTCAGTTTCAGTTCAGCTTTAGTTCAGCTAAAGTTAAGCTTCAGTTCAGCTTCAGCTAAAGTTAAGCTTCAGCTAAAGTTAAGCTTCAGCTTAAGTTAAGCTTCAGTTCAGCTTTAGCTTTAGTACAGCTTCAGTAGAGCTTTAGCTCAGCTTTAGTTTAGCGTCAGTTCAGCTTCAGATTCAGCTTTAGATTCAACTTGAGCTTCAGTTCAGCTTCAGATTCAGCTATAGATTCAGTCCAGCTCCAGGAGAGCTTCAGTTCAGCTCAACTTCAGCT